TCTCTCTCTCTGCCACGCGCCGCTCTAGTGCCCCGCCACCAACGCGCCGCCAAGGAGCGTCCGGCTACCGTGGCGTCCGCCTGCGGCCCAACGGCAGCTACACCGCGGAGATACGCTCTGGCGAACTCCGACTCGCCCTCGGCACGTACGGGACGGCGCGACAGGCCGCCCGCGCGTACGACGCGGCGGCGTGGCGCCTAGGTCGGCCGCGCGGCCAGATGAACTTCCAAGATGTGTACACGCTCGAGCAAGCGCTCAACCTCGCCCCTCTGCCTCGTCTGAACACGGCGGAAGACCGTGCGGAGCACGCCGAGCGGCAACGCCGCCTCCTCGTCGCCCAGGAGGACGAGAGGGTCATGACGGACTGGCGCCAGCGCCACCCGGAGGACGTCGCCTACGAGCAAGCCTACTGGGCAAGGCGCCGCGAGGAGGACACGCAAAGGCGCCGCGCGTCGCGGTTGGACAGGCGTCGGCGGAAGGCGTTGGCGAATGCGCAGTCCGACCTCGTTGCAGCAGGTGGGCGGTCGTTCTTCACGCCGAACGATGAGCGGTGGCTGGACATCTGGCTATCTACCTCGGACGACACCGCCGAGGATGATAGTGGTGATGATGATAGCGTCTTAGAGTAGTTTTTTTTGTTAATGCAATATATGTTTATCGTTTGTCGTTTTTATTTTATGCAATCTATGTTTCGGATGTAAAATACCTTTGTATGGTTTAATCTATGCAATCTATCTAGTTTTTTTTTAAAAAATTTCAACTTTTAAAAATGCATACATTTCTAGTCGCGCGCGCTGCATTTTAGCGCGCTGCTGGAGCGGCGCGCGCGCTGCATTTCAGCGCGGCTGCTGGAGCCAGCGCAGACGGGCACGCAAAACCAGCCGCAGCGCGCGCGCTAACAGGTTTTTTGCGCGCGGCGCTTTAGCGCGGCTGTTGGAGATGCTCTTAGTGCACTCTACTCTTTCCATACTCTCCTCTTCCCAATCCATCCTCTCCTCTTCCCGATCCGTCCTCTCCTCTTCCCACTCCGATCCATGGCCAACGGCCGCTGTGGCTCCGGCTCCAACGACGACGAGAGCGACGTCGATGCGGTCGCTCTCCGCATTGCTCTGCGCCGCTCCCGTCTAGATAAAGGCGGAAACAGCGGTGGGAGCTCACAGAGTGACGCGTTTTCCCCCTTCGCCCGTCAAAGCAGTGCGAGTGACGTTTCTGCGCCCTCACGTCCGACGCGCAACACCAGTCGGAGCGTCACCTCCGTCCCACTCCAAGTACGCCGCCCGCCGCCACCTCGTCCATTCAACCTCCAGAGAGGGTCCACATGCACTGTTTGGTGCTTGTGCCCTCGCCGGCGCCGGGTCGGGCGAGGATGCCCAAGTCGGAGGCACGGGCAGAGCATGAGTGGCAACGCGCAAGGGAGGCCATGGCGGACGCGTCGACGACGCTTCATCGACGTACGCGTGCGCCGGTCGATCCCGAGGACATGCTCATAGCGTCCGTCCTTCGGCGGTCCCTGACAACGGCGGATACGGATGCGCGACGGCTACGATGGAAGAATGCCAAAGCGCTCCGGCTCACTATCGATCTGTCGGTGAATGCGACGAAGAAGGCGAAGGCGAGGAGGCACACCCAGGAGCAGGAACGCCCGGTGGCTCGCTGAGAGCACATGGAGCTGTCAGACGACTCCGATGACGGATCAACCTCCTCCTCCTCCGACGATCCTCTGGCGGCCGACACCTACACCAAAGGCCAAAGCAGCACCGCGGACCGCGCAAGAGGAAGGGGGCGGCGAGGAAATGGTAATTTCCTCTGCCCTTTCCCGTTTAATTAAGTTTTTAATCGTATATTTGGAGTACTGTCCGATTAAGACTGCATCATTGGGTTGTTTGATGATCGTTTATGCTACAATTTACCCGATTTAACTAGATTTGCTGATATTCCGAAGATCTACGTACGTTCGTTTTCATACGTTCATGTCTTGCATGGATATGAGTTGCCGGATTTGAGATACACGGGTGCAAATGCAGCAAAATGAAGAGTGCCCGGTAAGTGTCCGCGGCGGGCGCGTCCGCGGGCGTTTGGTGGCCCTAATTTGCCAACTGCGGCTGTAGATGCTCTTACCTTGAAGAATAATAAAAGTAAGCACATTTCGTTTTAGGGAGCACCTATGAGCGAAAATGGTTAACCTAGGAAAGAGTATACATAAGCGCATCAAACTACGTATGTGCTCTCATCTTTGTTCTTTTTTTTTTCATATCATCAGCCTTTTCTCAGTCCTGCGCCTTCCTCTTCCTCCATCTCGGTCTACCCTTCCCTAGCATCGGCTGAACAGGTTGCAACCATCACCCATGGTTGTTGCCATTATCGCGTCGCCTCGTTGCCCCGTCCAATACGAGTCATCTCCTCTATTGAGCGGTTGCAGTCTCGGACGTCCCTCTAAAACCCCCCGCCCCTTCCGCGGCACCGGTGATCATGCCTCGCACCTGTACGGGCAACGTCGACTCTCTTAGAGCATCTCCAGCCGTTCGGCCCCCTAGGGCGCCGAAAAAGAGTGGCCTGGGGGTGAGCCGGCGGTATACTCTACGCTGGGGTCGGTTGAGCACCCAGCCGTCGCCCCCAGGCGTCGATTTTGGCCTAGTGTTCGGCCCAATTGTGTCCAAAAACAACCCGATATCTGCGTGAGTCGGCCCATATTCGGCGCGGTTCGGCGTGTTTCGGCGTGAATTTTCGCATACAAATAGAAATCAATTAGTTCGTCACATAGTTCGGCATGGTTCGGCGTGTTTCCGCGTGTTTCATCACATAAATCAAATAGTTCAATACAAATTATATAGTTTAACAAATAAAAACTCAAGTTTCATCACACGTCATTCCCGCATCGCCCCGGCCTCGCCCTTGAGCCTCCATAGGTGCTCCACCAGATCGTGTTGCAGTTCTTGATGCACCTGTGGGTCTCGGATCTCCTGACGCATATTGAGGTAGTCGGTCCAGGTTGCCGGTAGCTGGTGATCAACTTGGGCAAGAGGACCCCACCTATAATATGGTTCAGTGTCAAACACTGGCTTTTCCTGCTCGCTCTCAATGATCATGTTGTGCAAGATGATACATCAAGTCATGATCTCCCACATTTAATCTTTCGACCGGGTCTGAGCAAGGAACCGGACAACAGCAAATCGAGATTGGAGCACACCAAATGCCCTCTCGACATCCTTCCTGCAAGCCTCCTGCACATTCGCAAACCAGCGTTCTTGCCTCCTGGCATAGGATTTGAGATGGTCTTCACAAATGTCGACCATCTCGGATAGATGCCATCAGCTAGATAGTACCCCTTGTCGTACTGCCGCCCATTGACCTTGAAGTTCACCGGATGAGAATGACCTTCAACAAGCTTGGCAAAGACAGGGGAGCACTGCAGGACGTTGATGCCATTGTGAGTTCCTGGCATCCCAAAGAAAGAGTGCCAAATCCAGAGGTCCTGTGTGGCTACTGCCTCAAGTACCACACTGCAACCGCCTTTGGCGCCTTTGTACAACCCCTGCCAAGCAAATGGACAGTTCTCCCATTTCCAATGCATGCAGTCGATGCTTCCAAGCATCCCAAAAAATCCTCTTGCTGCATTCTGTGCTAGGATCTGAGCAGTGTCTTCCGCATTGGGTGTTCGCAAGTATTGCGGTCCAAACACTGCCACCACTGCCCTGCAGAACTTGTAGAAACACTCAATGATGGTGGACTCGGCCATGCGCCCATAGTCGTCGAGTGAATCACCGGGAGCTCCGTATGCAAGCATCCTCATAGCTGTCGTGCACTTTTGGATTGAGGTGAGTCCAAGTGTGCCGGTGCAATCTATCTTGCACTTGAAGTAGCTGTCGAACTCCCGGATGGAATTAACAATCCTGAGGAAAAGCTTTCGGCTCATCCGATAACGGCGCCAAAATGTTTTCTCACCGTGCAATGGAGCGTCGGCGAAGTAGTCTGAGTAGAGCATGCAGTAGCCTTCCAGACGATGCCGATTCTTTGCTTTCATCCGCCCAGACGCCGAGCCACCTCGCCACGACTTTTCACTGCTCGCGAGCAGGCCGGCGAGGGCGGCGAGCACCATGAGAAACTCCTACTCCTGGACGTCGGCTTCGGCTTCCTCCTCCAGCAACGCCGCGAGCGCCTCCTCATATTCGGAGTCCATCGCCGGGCCGGGCAAATCACTGAACACCTTGTGGGCGAGGTGGGCACAAACCCGCTGGTTTACAGGCCCTGCGCGGCCGGAACGCCGAAAAAGTTGCACGGACGGTGGCGGAGAGGCTGCCTCGGCGAAACCTCTTCTTTCTTCTTTTTCCCGGCGGGAAATGATCTA